AGATCCTGCATGGTACACCCCATACACTCCTTTCCAGGCTGAAATATCTCAAGGCCGTCTAGAGTCCTGTTGAATTTTCAGTCCATGATTATAGACTTGACAGCTATGGATTTGGCAAATGCATCTCTTCTTGATCAGGCTACTGCATGTGCTGGGGCAATGTGCCTTGCCTTTCATCATGGTCGAAAGGAGCGTATGACCTTTTTTTTTTGTATCGAGGGATGTCTTCCCATCTTGCGTAGAGATGGTAAAAACAAGGGCTGAGCCCCTTAAAATAAAGGTCGTTGTTGGTGATCCAAATTTGATTGATTGGAGCGATTCCTCACTTTGTGGAATTTTGGTACAAACTCCAGATGCCATGGGGATGCTTCATGATTTTACGACACTGTTTGAGAAGGCAAAACAACATGGTGTCGTCAGTTGTTGTGGGACGGATTTGATGGCTTCTGTTCTTCTCAAACCTCCGGGAGAAATGGGAGCCGATGTTGTTTTGGGATCTGCCCAACGTTTTGGTGCCCCACTAGGGTTTGGAGGGCCTCACGCCGCATTTTTTTGCTGTCAATGAGGAATTTAAGCGATTGATTCCGGGTCGCGTCATTGGTATAAAAGTAAAGACTCGACGGGTTGTCCGGCCACACGCATGGCGCTTCAGACGCGGGAGCAACGTATTAAGAAGGAACGCGCCACACCCAATATTTGTACTCCACAAGCGCTCCTAGCAAATGGTGCGGCATTTTATGCCATTTATCACGGCTCCGAGGGCTTGAAGGAAATTGCGAGCGAAATGCACAAAAAAGCCAAAATAATTTCTGTTGGTTTAGAGTCTGTAGGGCATACAGTGGTCAATGGTACATTTTTTGATACCATCACCGTAAATTTAAAAGGTATAACGCCTGAAGACTACGTGGCATGCTGCGTGGAAAAAGGCATTAATATTTTTGTTGATTATAGTCATGGCACCGTCTCTATATCGGTGGATGAGGCCACTACCGAGGGCCATGTAGTGTCTCTCTTGGAGGCAGCAGGGCTAAAACTTCCTGTGATAGGTGTCCTTTCAAAACTCGCAGAACAAAAGAGAGCAATGCCTTTGCAAATGTTACGAAAATCTGTCTTCCTTGGGCATTCAATCTTTCAAAAGTACAAAAGTGAGAGTGAGCTTATGCGGTACATTCACCGTCTTCATGGAAAAGATTATGGTCTCACGCATGGTTGTGTGCCCTTGGGTTCTTGTACCGTGAAACTTAGTCCAGCTGCCGCCATGTTGTCCTTGTCGTGGTCAGAATTTACCAACCCTCACCCTCTTGCACCGACGGAGCAAACGCGAGGATATGATGCGTGGTGTTTGGATCTGGAGCAGAAAATAAGGGATATTACCGCTTTAGATGCCGTGTCACTTCAGCCAAATAGTGGTGCTCCGGGTGAATATGCTGCTCTTCGTGTGATCGGCTCGTATCATAATTCAAAAAAGGAGAGCCATCGCAATGTTTGCTTGATTCCAGAAAGTGCTCATGGCACAAATTTTGCTTCGGCTCTCTTGGCAGGGATGGTGATTGTAAAGATAAAGTGTTTGGCGGATGGAAGGATTGACATGAAGGATTTGGAAAATTCTTGCCAAAAGCATACAAAAGAATCTCTCGTGCATTATGAAAACGTATCCGAGTACTTATGGTTTGTTTGACAGGGAAATCTTGGCCATTACTTCGATGGTGCACTACCATGGAGGGCAATGTTATATTGATGGAGCAAACCTGAATGCCATGGTGGGTTGCACAGCATCTGGATGTATTGGGGGCGATGTGTGCCAGTTTAATCTCCACAAAACGTTTTCAATTCCTCATGGTGGTGGTGGGCCAGGCATGGGTCCCATTGCTGTTCGTCAGCACCTGGCTTCATTCTTGCCAGATTCTGTTTTTATTCAAAATGTTGGTGGTTCCCAGCCTTTTGGTCAAGTCTCTCAAGCAGCATACGGATCGGCGTCTATTCTTCCAGTTTCTTATTTATTAATGTTGATGCTTGGTTCACGGGGTCTCAAGACATGCACGGGGTATGCGATTTTAAATGCCAACCATTTAAGGAAGCGTCTTGACGGCCACTGCCCAGTTCTCTTTCCAGGGGAAAACGATTTCTGTGCTCACGAGTTTATCATAGATTTAAGACCATTTAAAAAAACAGCACAAATTGAAGCAGAAGATGTGGCGAAACGAATTGTGGATTATGGCCTTCACTCACCTACCCTGGCATTTCCTGTTGCGGGAACACTCATGATTGAATCCACAGAGTCAGAGTCAAAGCGGGAGTTGGATCGTTTGGCCGATGCACTTATTTCCATTCGTACCGAAATTGCATCCATAGAGGAGGGTGAAGAGAGCACAACGAACAACGTTTTTGAGAATGCCCCGCACACGGCAAAGTGTGTCACATCAGATGATTGGGACAGGCCATACACCCGGAAAACTGCTGCATTCCCTTCGAGCCATTCACACACCGAAAAGTTCTGGCCTTCAGTTGGCCGCATCGATGGAATCTATGGGGACAGAAACTTGATGTGCAGTTGTGCATTGAATAATTTTTGTGAGTAAAACTGTTGCAATGGGAGGCAGTAATTTTTTTAATTTATTTATTACCAATTTTATATTTTTATTTGTTTCTGCATCCGTTTCTTGGATGATGGAGTGTTTTGGGCCTATTTGTGTCTGGTGTGATAAAACTGAACAGGGGGAGAGGGATATGATTGTGTGTGAGTGCGTGTTTGTCTGTGTGGTCGCAGAATGATTCTATGGTCTTATTCTTTAACCTGTCAAGTGCTCTTCTTTAGGATGTACAATAATTCCAATGCGAAGATGCTTTGCCCTTGCAATCGCCTGGATTTTTCCTGCTTGTTATTCCCTTTGTTAATACTGTTGTTGGTTTGTTAAGGCAAAGCTTTACTGCAACAATACAAATGCATGTTTGTGGGATTATTATTTTTTTTGTCAGCCCAAAGGTGAAGTGAACTCAGGCGTCTGCCTTTTCCCTCACTGTCGTCAAGAATATTTCCGGATACTCATCACGCAAACGTCTCAGATGTAATTTTTTTCTCAGTTTTGAATAATTTCTTGCAATTCAACAACCCCCAACTCTGAGATAAATGGGGGTTACGATGAGAAGGAAATTGTCTACAAACTTTTTTTTTTTTTGGTGTATCTTTTAGTTTTTATTTTCTCTTTTTGCTGTTAGAAATCATTGAACGAGAGGGTTTGTTGACCTTTTGTTTTATTTGTCCTCTCTGCCTGACGGCCAGTTGTACACAAACGTGCTCCCCGGCACCTCAGTTGGGGCTGGCGGGTTTGCTCATAGTTGTCACTGGCAATCGCAAGTGCCAAATTTCCGTTGGTTTTTTGCATTGACGCAATTATTTGTTTATTAACTGAAGCCATTCTGTCCGGAGTGTCACTTTGATTGGATTGTGTGGGACTGCTCGCCAACACCATCAAACAAAACAGGCTGAAGAGTTTACTTATTTAAACGTCATCTTTTGCGCACATATTTTCTTACGTTCTGTTGATGTGCACTCAAACAGCGAGGAATCCGGAACTATGCGTGCGTGGAATTCTTTTCTGCCATTTGGACTGCGGGCAACACCGAGGGCTGCCACTTTGACTCCGCAGGGTTATCGTCTCTTTGCAGGGTTGGCAGGGAAATTTCATGCAGCCTGCTACTGCTGGTGTGTCCTTAAATGCTGTCACTCCATGCGAATAATGTGCTTCATCGAATGAGGGGGATGATTGGGTTTGTGTGCACTCTGTTTGCTACTTTGTGCGGGCACGCAAGACTTGAGGGGTGGGAAAATGTAGCGGGGCGATGCATGGCTGCGTCTCGCCCATTGTTCACTGCACGATGGTGTGGTGCACATTGTGGTGCTGACTCTGCGATGTGACCGCGGTCCCCTGCGCGGCAATGGTGGTGGGTGGAGGAGAGTGTTGACCCGCGGCAGGACGGTGTGATCGTGTTTTCTTTTTTTTTTTTACTTCACCCTCTGCGAAGGTGTACACTCATTACTAGTGTTGGTGATAGGGAAAACAGACAGACAACGTGAATAAAACAAAATACAAAAAAGGACGATAATGTGGCGGTGTTGTGGACGATTGCACGTTGCGTTGCTGCGGAGGCGGTGGGCCTTGACTGTTTCACCGACAGGCGTTGCAGTGCGGCTGCATGGCGCACCGACAACCGAGCCGTGCGAGCGCCACGCCCAACGCCATTGGGACTGCGAGAAGAAACAGCCGCGAGTGCCCATTGGAGCCAGCGGCACCTGCTGGCCGCAGTTGGGCGGTGCGAGTGGGATGCTCCACCACACGGGTGTTGTGATGGCACCTCGAAGCGGCATCCCCGGCGATGGTTCCGACGCTGCAACTCGCAGAGGAGTGGAGGAAACGAGGCAACCAAAGTGGACCATGAGCAGCAGCGTAGAGGACATTCTGCTGGGTGGAGACACGAGCACCGACATGAAGCTGAACGATTTTCTTCGGAATTATGTTGGCGGCAGGGCGGCCGTTGATGAAGACCACAATGTGACGATGCAGGTGTTTGTTCAAGAGCCGGATGCTTACGTACAAGACCAGCGGCTTTTTAGAATTATTTTTAATTTAACAGAGTACCAAGAGATGAAAAGAGAGTTGGATGAGATGAAAATTCTATTGGAGGATATTACTAAGCTTCATCACGAGAGTGTGTTTTCGATTGAACAATGGAGGGACTATGAAGGAAAGGATACAGTCACTTCTCTTGCAAGGGGAAAACTAAACGCAGCCCTCACTCAGGTACTGAGAGAAGAACGGCGTGTGGCAGAAGAAAGGCTAATAAGAGCGCAAGAAATGAAATTTACCTTTTCCACTACGATTGAAGAGGTACTGTTCAAAGGAGGAGTCCGCGTCAAGGAAATGAAGCTGAATGATTTTCTTACGATGGAATTGGACGGCAGGGGCGTTGTGGACACCAATCGGGATGTCTTGCTGGAGGAGTTTTTCAAGGATCCCAAGAAATATATCCCTGATAAGGGAGTATTGAAAGAAATGCAGATAACCGATGCTTATGCGAGGATGGAGAGGGCTGTGAGGGATGAAATGGATATGGAAGAAGATATAAAGAAGCTTTACAAAAATGGTGTGTACGATCTACTGAAATGGTCAGAAGCTGCAGCGGAGGTAAAGGCAACTGTTCATGGCATCACTAACGAGTTTTTGGATGTAGCCTTTGAGGAAGCGAGGATCCTAACGACGACGAGTGCAGTGATGAAACTGGAGGGATTATACGAGTCTGTGTACAATGCGAGGTGGAGCCATGTGGTGGAAGTTCCTCACGACAAAGGAATGGGAATGGAAGTGAAGAAGGGGAAACCAGAACAGTCATGGACGTACAGGGAGGTTGGCGATACCCTCGAAAGGAATGACGCTGTGCAGCAATCCGGTGCAGCAACTCCCGTGTTGATGGTGCTCACCTCGGACGATGGGTGGCCGTACACACTGAATGCGCCGCATGGGTCTGGTAATGACTTCTTTATTAACTGTGAGGTGGAACGAGTGTGGCAGATCGTCAAGCGCGATCTAACCGAGTGGTTCAGCAATTTTGATTTGACTCTCAATCCTTCACCTATGCCGCGTGTGTTGATTGGGACGCCCGGGATCGGGAATTCGGCGGCTGCCGGCTCGTACCTCCTCTACCAGCTGCTGCACTGCGATGTGGAGAAACTCCAAGTGGTTGTCCACTGTTTTGGGGATACCGCGTACGTGTTTCACAAGATTACCAAAACCGTGACAAAATACACGGGTAACAAAACATCGAAGATTGTTGTGGATGGTTTGTGGCAGCGTGGGATGAAAGGGTATATTATTTACGATGTGGCAAAGAAAGGAACACCGCCCGACACAGATTTTGCGCCCTGTAATGGATGGGGCATGATTGTGGTGTCATCCCCAGAGGTAAGCAACTATGATAAATGGGCGACTCAAGTAAAAGCCACGCAAATCATCATGAATTGCCCCGACGAGATGGATGTGAAGGCGATGTGTGCATGGGTTAAGCGAGGTGTGAAACCAGATAAACAAGCGGAATACTGGAGGATGGTTGAAAAGCACATGAAGAAAGTGGGGCCGATTCCACGTCACATCTTCGATGCGGATGAATATGGAAAACGCACGCAGGATGTTATGAGGACCTTGGAATGGATCAATATTGGGGGTCAAGGAAGGTACTTTGCCCTGGGAGGAAGTAATTTATGGTATTCCGAGGATCCGTCTCACAAACTTGTGAAGATTGTTCGAGTGAGAGGAAAAAGCGCATTTGAGGGCCTCAGTAATGCACCTATATGTAATTATCTTGGGGTTTTAACAGTATCTCGTTTGGCAAAGATAATGAGTCTGAATGATTTTCTTTTCCTCGTATTGGGGATGAAGAATGTTCTTCAACCTGCAGCTTTGAAAAAGTATGCTTTGAACGTATTATTGAGTGTGAAGTTTGTCACTTCCATAGTGAAGGATCTCAAGGAGCTGCAGCCACCATCACCTTCCGAACCACGGTCCTCGGTGCTAACGTTAAACCCTCATGGTTACCCCACCGAGGCAGCTGCAATAACTGAACTGAAGTTCATTGATCGCCCGCAAGAATTAAATTATCGGGTGTTGTACATACCGACGTTCCCAACCTTTCCGCTGGTGGACGGCTTTTTCTTTGTTGATTCGCCGCGGAAGACGCTGGTTGGGCTGCAGATGACGACGGCGAGTGCGCATCACACGACAACCAGCACTGTGAAGCAGTTCACTGAGTGCCTGGCGTCATATTTTGATGATTGGGACGAATTATCCCGAGACATGTCGTGGGAGATGATTTATGTGCAGCACGAAAACAGCACAATGATAACGAAAAGGCAGAAATGCGATGTCGTCATTCCCAATAATTTGAGCGACGCTGAAAAAGAAATTGTGGCGTTCTGGGACGGAAAGGTACACCAATACCAGTTTGTGTTGACACCTGATTTTGTCAATAAAATCCGAGAAAAGTGTGAATACAATAATCTTGTAGAAAATGGATAGGCAAGAAAATTGAAAAAAATAAGTAGTAACAAAGTGCATTTCTTTCTGGTGAAATATATTAGGAAGTATTTTAGCGATTTTTATATGTGTGTGCCTACGAGGTCTAGACAGTGAATGCCTTTCTTTTCAGAGAACCGTTGTGGTCAGCAGTGCCACAATCACCACACCCTTTTTTAATTTCATTTTATTTTATTTTCACCAGAGGCGCATCGTCACTGGAGGCTGTTGCGCACTATAGGGGCCGCATAATTTTTCTTTATTTTTATGGGATTTTGTGAAAAGAATGCTTGTGAGGACGGCTGGCTGCCCAAATAAATTCATATCTCGCACAAACGAAGATATCTCTTCACAACTTTTTTCTCTTCTACCGCACGGTCTTTTGGGAGACCGTGATTGAGGGAGTCAGGGAGCAGACAGCTGCCAGACGAAATTTTTTTTATTTTATTTTTATTTTTGCCTTCCCACCCACCCACTTTGTGATCCCCACCTTGCGGCGTTTTTTTCTGGCTGGAGGAGCCCCAAAGGCCTGCCACTTCGCAGGGGATAAGTGTTTCTAATTGTAACTGTGCGCAGAATTCCACGGCAGTGATTAGCAGAATGTATATACATAGACACATTGGGGCAAACATTACGGAGAACTCATTGCCTCTCCATTTACCGCTTTTTTTCTTTTTGGGTAATTACAGGATCCGGCCAGCGGCACAGAAGATTTCTTCCTCTGTGAAGGTGTGCACTTGCTTTTGGTGTCGGTGACAGGGCAAACGGACAGACAAAGTGAATAAAACAAAATAAAAAAGGACGATAATGTGGCGGTGTTGTTTCGGTCGATTACACGTCTCGTTGCTGCGGGGGCGGTGGGCCTTGACCGCTTCACCGACAGGCGTTGCAGTGCGGCTGCATGGCGCACCGACCACCGGGCCGCGCGAGCGCCACGCCCAACGCCATTGGGACTGCGGGAGGAAACAGCCGCGAGTGTCCTTTGGAGCCAGCGGCACCTGTGTTGGCTCCGACGCTAAAGCTCGACATTTGGTGGGGAGTAAAGAGTGACCGCCGTGGACTCTTGACAGTCTGGTGGAAGATCTAATGCTAGACGGAGATACTCTCAGCACCAGCTTGAAGCTTAATATTTTTTTTGGAATTGTATTGGCTCCATGGCGACTGTTGATGAAAGACTACAATGCGACGAGGGAGACGTTTATTCGGAGACTCGATGCTTACGTAAATGACCAGCAGCTTCTTGAGGGAATTCTTAATTTGACAGACTACCAGATGTACAAACTTCTTCACGAGGGTGTGTTCTCTCTTCATCAATGGAGGGACTATGAGAGGAAGGATACGATCAATTTCCGGGCAATGCAAAAACTTGATTCGGCTCTTGAAATGCCAGACGGATACTCGGAGCAGCGAAAAAAAATTACCCTTGTAAGTAAGATTGAAGATGTACTGTTTGAACGAAAAGTTCGTGTCATGGACAGAAAGCTGAATGAGCTTCTTAATAGGAGATTTGATGGCAGGGGCTTTGTGGACGCCAATCGGAATGTCTTGCGGGAGGGGTTTTTAAGGACCCTGAGAAGTATATTTGCGATGCGGGAGTATTGGGCGAAATGCAGGCATCGGATCGTTATGTGATGAT